CGTAAGCAAGCCTGCTCAGAAGTAATTCCCATGTTATTCAACAGGGCTTACTTCCAGGAAAGTGTTCTTAGGACTGCAGCCTACAGGCTATTCACCTATTAGTCAGAGGGTCTAACTCTGGAGTTGAATTCAAATGGGGATTTTTCCGCACACGGGCAGTGGATGTCCCCACAGTAAATGGAAATGTTCACAGGACATCATGCGCAATTTGATCATGCAACACATACAGCTCCCAGGCTTCCCCCCCCCCCATTAAGCCAGAGAAAATAAAAACCTAATTTTGGCTACGGTCACATGGAGCATTAGGCACGCTAGAGGACGGAAGATAGGCGGATTTTCTGGGCGCGATCTCACCGCCACATCTGGGGAGCGTAGAGCTCCCGTGGAGAACCCGAGGCTTCCCGCGGAAGATGCACGGTAAAAAACTAGTACCTCGGAGGTACTAGTTTCCTGAAACCGTGGGGCAAGGGCGGGCGTCTGAACGCCTTTCCGGTGGTATTCCAGCGCCTGCCCATGTCCCCTCGGAAAAAGGTTTTTTCCCCCAAAGTCTCCACGGATGCGCACCAGCACCCAAGGGAGCATGCACACATTTGATTTAAAAAAAACCCCAACCCCGTTTGCCCCGCGCCCTGCTTCTTTGCCGCGCCACAGGACTGTGGAGTGATCGGCACCTCCCCCCTACCACGGGACCTCCACGGTAGGTCTGCTCGCGCAACCACGTGGTTTTTAGCCCCGGGGCAAACAGCCATGCTCCCCCCCCCGCATTTTCCTGCCCGTGTGCCCGCAGCCTTTCTCTGGCTCAAAAGAGAAATCCCAAAGTGTGGGAGGAAGTCAGAGCTAAGATCCACTTTCAAAACGGCATGGGGCAGCTTGCTGCTGTGTCCCCCCTCCCGTTTAGCCCTTTAAAGGGCTTCTTTGCTTTCCTTGCTGAGCTGTGTTGTAGCTTTACAGCAGTGGCCCAGAAGGGGAGTTGAAAGTGAGAGGGAAGGAGGGCTCTGGTCCACAGGTGGCGTGACAAAAATGTCATTTTGTCTGCACTTTTATGCCGGTGCGACAGAGAAAACAAGAGGCAGGTGTGGAGCAACAGCAGCGTCACACCCAGCCATTCCTGCCTTTCTCTATCATTTTTGCCACTGCTCCGATCACGGGAATGTGTTTTCGTGCCACTGTGGTGTAGATGCAGCCTCAGTGTACCACTTGACAAAGAGCTACAGCCAATTCTCTTTCTTTGGCAAGTTCCCCATTCATTTCACCTGCCTGACACACATCTGTCCCATTCTACCCAAGGGATTGACAAGTCTAATGATGTTAGATCACTTTGAACCATCTTGGTTTAAGGTGCTAGAGAAGGAATCAGCCTTTTACGGCTTGTCTAAACAATATTTGTGCTCTATGGGTTACGAAAAGGCCAAGTCTGTGGCGAAACAGAGAATACTGTATATCTCAAGACGACACGATTTAAACATGATAGGGAAATGGCGAGCCCTCTTGGCTCCAGATAACAGAGTAATCCCTATGCCCTCTCCCATTTACTAAATCAGGGCTACAGAAGAACATTTACACTAATGCGCCGGGATGTACTCCCATCTGCAGTGCTGGAAGGAAAATTTAATAAAACTCCTTATGAAGAAAGGATATGCCCCTGTTGTGCAGATGGTATTGAGTCTATAGAACACGTAATATTTGATTGTAAGGCATATAACAACATCCGCGAATCTCTTCCTTTCTCTAAGACTTAAGAATCTCTTTCTCGTAGGCAAAGAATCTGCCTTTTAAGAAGTTTTTTTATCGGATAGGCGAGCAGAGGTTACTCATCGGGTGGCTAGGTTTGGATGGCTTGCCCTAAGAATTAAATGAAAAACGGAAAAGAACTGTGACAATTTAGCGCTTAATAATATATTCATAAATCATAATATACAATAACAGAAATATAAATAGTGAATGTAGTAGACGGTGGTCTCCGGAATGATGTGCCGTTTCGAAAATGATCTTCTTCTGAACAAGGAGGTGTACCTTATCAAATACAACAATACAAATCTCATTTAAAAACTATATCTAACAGTGTATAAATATATAATGTAGATAAGAATAAAAATAGTATGAAACCTTACATAAACTGTCCTTCAACAATTCATTTCTCTTGGTGACATATTGACAATATATTGTTGATTCTAAAAAGTACAACAACAGCTGCTACAGTACACTTTCATTATTATTCATAAATACTCCACATACATGATTGTTAATATTAAAGTATATAATAAAGACACTCACCACTTCATCATAAAGCTATGCTTATAGCTATGTTCTTCAATGGGCTATGGTTGCTGAATGCCTTAGCAAGTGGATTCTATGTAGGCATTATATCCTGCTGGTCTGTTTTTTTCACACTGATCCTGTTACTACTCATAAATAAGTACAAAATTCACCAACTCCTATGACAATTATCCATGGATTATCCATGGCGGCTCCCATTAATTCATTAATGCTCCACATACATGATTGTTAATATTAAAGTATATAATAAAGACACTCACCACTTCATCATAAAGCAATGCTTACAGCTATGTTCTTCAATGGGCTATGGTTGCTGAATGCCTTATCTAGTGGATTCTATGTAGGCATTATATCCTGCTGATCTGTTTTGTCAACACTGATCCTGTTAATACTCATAAATAAGTACAAAATTCACCAACTCCTATGACAATTATTCATGCATACAGGTAACTTAGAATACACTAACCATTTATAAATGTTCATAAATAACATGCCAAGTCCAGGGATGCATTCAAGCCAAATGGATAGATAGTGTTTAAATTGAAAATCCAGAAGGCCTCACGCCGCAAGAGTGTTTGTCGAATATCTTTTCTGCAGTAATTGCTGGTCTGGATCACTTCTATAACTACAAATTTGAAATCATCATATCTATGACCCACTGAGATGAAATGGTCCACGAGGGGGGCTTCTGTATGTTTATGTTTAATTTTGGACTTGTGTTCCAAAATTTGGGTCTTAATTGCCCGTGTCGACTCTCCAATGTATTTTAGCCCACAAGGGCAGGTTATTAAGTAAATGGTCTGCTTCGTGGAACATGAAGAGTAACTATTCAATTCCCTCCTATAGTTAATTTCTGGGAAGTAGACATATTTTGTTTCCACACTCAACGGACATGCTGCACATCGCAAACACTTATAGTGGCCTCTGGGTGTGTTCTCTGGAGTTATATTGGATTGTAAATCTGCATGTATCAAAAGGTCTCTTATGCTTGCAGTTTTACGAAAGCCTATGCTGGGTGGTATTTGGCATCCTGGTATGTCTCCCACAATGTGCCAATGTTTTAAAACAATCCTCCTGATGGATTATGCCATAGGAAACCTTCCCTGGATCGGGTGACTGTCTCTTTAAATAAATCTACTCTTGCTCTCTTGTCAGCTCTGCAGCACCCCGCAGCTACAACCTGCATGGGATAGCCTCTTTGTAAAAAATCTCTTTCCAATCCATTTGCTGCTGTGCAATAATCATTTTCCATAGTAGAATTTCTTTTCAATCTTAAAAACTGTCCCTAAGAATTAGACAAAACTATAGCAGCTCAAAAAGAGAATTAAGATTTAGTTTTATTAATTTTAATTATTATGGTTTTTATGGAGTTTCCCCCTTTTTAAAAAACCCGCTTTTAAAATTCTGCTTCTTTATCATTTATGTGGCGCTGCGGTGGCTCAAGTGGTTAAGACGCTGAACTGCAGGCTGTGGAAGGTCCGGTAGATCAGCAGTTCGAGACCCAAGTTGCCGCATGACGGAGTGAGCTCCCGTCTCTAGTTCCAGCTCCTGCCAACCTAGCAGTTCGAAAGCAAGAAATTGCAAGTACCCTGTTTCCCCGAAAATAAGACCTACCCCAAAAATAAGCCCTAGCAGGATTTCTATGCATTTGTGGTATAAGCCCTACTGTGTCTTCTTGAGAAAAAATAAATATAAGACAGTGTCTTATTTTTGGGGAAACACGGTAGATAAATAGGTACCACTTCAGTGGGATGGTAACAGCGTTCCGTGCGCCTTGGTGTTTAGTCATGTCGGCCACATGACCACGGAAACGTCTTCGGACAGCGCTGGCTCTTCGGCTTTGAAACGGAGATGAGCACCGCAACCCTAGAGTCGGACTCGACTGGCTTTCGAGCAAGGGAGACCTTTACCTTTACTTTATCATTTATGTTGCAAGATATGCCATCGGTGTACTATGTGCTGGCGGTCAATGACCGTGAATAAAACTTATACTATACTATACATCTGTCCCATTCATACTCTACATTTTTAGATGTACACCTAAAAAAACTAACGTGCAAGAATTGCTTTACTTCAGCTCAAATGTCCCATGTATGGTTTTCTTTGAGTGTCCCATTTATGGAGCCGACTTTGTGCTTCTCGGGCTGCAGCGGATCCAAAGTCCCTAGTTGCCCTCCCAGTTTTTCTTTGGATTCCCTCATATCTTGTGGGAGGGAGACGGAAGAAACATGGTGGGAGGGGAGGGAAGAGACACAGGATTCTTCTTGCTTTTCAAATTATGAGAGAGAATCTCTGTGAGTAAGTTTCCGTAGCTATGTTACTCCCCCTCCTTCCATTTTCCTCCATTCCTTCTTCGGGTTCTTTCATTTGTCGTTGAAAGTGCTCTAGCCAGACAAAAGAGATGAGGGGCTCATGGGTGGGAGGGGGGGGACGTGATAAAAGAGTTTGTTCTAGAGGTTCTCAGTCCAAAGGGCTTCAAATTCTGGGGACATAATAAATGTCCTACTTCTGTGTTAAGTGCTTGCTACTTTCTGGGATGTATTCTGTGAATTCTTCACTCCATTATCTTAGCAACCGTTGCTAGGTAACATTGTTTGCTTCATAGCATCAGAGCAACAAGAGGGTCACAGATCAGTTCAGTATTATTATCTTCCGAGTTACACTAATAAGGGTTTTATGTGTCTTAAATTATTTTCCCCCTCTCTTCCCCCCCCTCTTCCCAGGGAATGTTATTGTCTACGGGAATAAAAGTGACGTTTTCACCACTGTAGAGACCCTCCTATCGTTAGGAATCGGCGGCAGCCGGATACACCTCGTGCACCCACCACTGCAGTCGAACGTTACTTCTATTAATAACAATGCAATAGAGAAAGCGGTTGATAAAGCGCTGTCCCTCGCTGGCGTGTCTGTGCATCATGACTCTCTGCTGGCTCGGTGGAACGACGGCAACCATCCGGATCCCATTGTGCAGGCCTCTTTCACGACTAAAACAAAGCCGTTTAAACTGCAGTGCTCCGTAAGTATATGCCTTCACTGTGTTCACTGTGCCCACTACTCAAGCAAAGGTCAGTACCGGATGATAGAATCGTGGTGCTGAATGGAATACGGGGTGCAATCTGGTGGGACATCCTTCAGCACGTGCCTCAGCGAAACGGATCATAGCTGTGCAGGAGCACTTCCCATTGGATCGTGCCCAGGGTAGCCAGTTGTGTTTTCTCCACTGCATTTGGAAGATTATCTGCCCTTTGGTTGGAGCTTCCTGCTTAAAAATACAAACCAAAAAATGTTTTAAGCTTCCCCGATGCTGGGAAAAATTGAAGGTCAAAGAAGACGGGGACGGTAAAGGATGAGATGGTTAGACAGTGTCATAGATGCAACGAACATGAAATTGAGCCAACTTCAGAGGACGGCGGAAGACAGGAGGGCCTGGCATGATCTGGTCCATGGGGTCGCGAAGAGTCAGACTCGACCGTGCGACTGAACAACAAGAAGTTTTTAAATACTTTAAGGATGTTGCCAAAATTCCTGATTTACCTGGTTTGGAATATGTGTCTGCCTCATTGGTAATGCTTGGATGTTTCACTAAGCTAATTGTTTCCCTGAGAAATTCTTCTTCAGTTCACAAAGTAAAACAAGATTCCACACGGGTGCTTTTGGCAATTAAAAAAAAAATCAGAGTCTTGATTGCTAATAACAGCTCAGACAGAGCTAAGCCAACATCTCCATGGGATGGTATTTGAGGATCCAGAGAGCTGCAGGTAGACCCAGGGAAATTCCACATCTGTGGGGGGGGGGGAAGGAGCTGTGCAGCCCCCAGTTTTGCCTGAGCTCTGTGGAGCCCCCCAACCCACTCATGCTATGTTCAAGGCAGGTTACAACAAAAAAGACAAAAGCATACAGGACAAAGCAAAGCATCCAAAATATTACTAAAAAAATTGAAACCCATCCAACTTTGTTGTTGTTCAGTCGCACAGTCGAGTCCGACTCTTCACAACCCCATGGACCAGATCCCGCCAGGCCTTCCGGTCTTCCGTCGTCCTCTGAAATTTGCTCAACTTCATGTTCGTTGCATCTATGACACTGTCTAACCATCTCATCCTTTGCCATCCCCGTCTTCTTTGACCTTCAATCTTTCCCAGCATCAGGGTCTTCTCCAGGGAGAGCTCCCTTCTCATTGGGTGGCCAAAGTAGTTGAGCTTCAGTGGTTCAAAATTAGCTCTTCTTGTTTCATATGGATAACAGAGATTCTAACATCATGTGCTTATTGATGGCTTCTCATTCCCTTCATTCCCCTCATGGATCACGCCAAGGAAAAGATCAACAACCTCAGATATGCAGACGATACCACTCTAATGGTTTGAAGCTCAACATCAAAAAAACTAAGATCATGGCATCCGGCCCCATCACTCCTTGGCAAATAGAAGAGGAAGTCGTGGAAGTAGTGACAGACTTCACGTTCCTGGGATCCCAGATCACCGCAGACTGTGACAGCAGCCATGAAATTAAAAGATGCCTGCTCCTTGGGAGGAAAGCGATGGTGAACCTAAACAGCATGATAAAAAGTAGAGACATCACCCTGCCCACAAAAGTCCGCATGGTCAAAGCAATGGTATTCCCAGTAGTCATGTATGGCTGCGAGAGTTGGACTATAAGGAAGGCTGAGCGCCGAAATAGATTCTTTTGAACTATGGTGCTGGAGAAGACTCTTGAGAGTTCCTTGGACTGCAATGAGATCGAATCAGTCAATCCTAAAAGAAATCAACCCTGACTGTTCCCTGGAAGGCCAGATAATGAAACTGAAGCTCAAACCCTTTGGCCACCCGATGAGAAGGGAGCACTCCCTGGAGAAGACCCTGATGCTGGGAAAGACTGAAGGTCAAAGAAGACGGGGACGGCAAAGGATGAGATGGTTAGACAGTGTCATAGATGCAACGAACATGAAATTGAGCCAACTTCAGAGGACGGCGGAAGATAGGAGGGCCTGGCGTGATCTGGTCCATGGGGTCGTGAAGAGTCGGACTCGACTGTGCGACTGAACAACATTCCACTCTCTGCACAATCTCGCCCATGTAACAATATATACATTAAAAAATGGGTAGCCAACAGTTTCTCGGCACAAACGTCTAGAAGGAAGCCATGCTTCCTAATCTCATCCAAGAAGGATACCGTGGTTGATACTATCTTGTTTTGGAACTGAGTCTGCCCTGGTTGTTCCTGTAGGCAACCTGCACCATGAGATGGACAGAAGGAATATACTCCATTGATTCTTTTTGGGCTTTTCAGATGCTTTTGATAATATCCATCATGGTATCGTTCTGGATTGCCTTTGCGTATCTTTTAATGTGCCTCTTGGGAAAGGGCAGGCTGGTGTGGGTTGGAACCAGCATAGTGGGCTAGACAGTGAAAGCCTATTTGGACCTCCAAGCATTAAAGAGAATTCAAACTACAATCTGAAGCCCTAACTATCTTAACGTCCCAGTGGTTGAACTATTGGGGAAAGTTCTAGGGTGAAAGCCGTTTCTCCACACAGAGAAGCAGTGTATCTTCACCATTGCCACATAATGGGTTCTAAACTGAGCTCTCACTCGTACTTGGTCAGATTCAATATCTTTATTTTTATTTTATTTATTATCGGATTTATACCCCGCCCTCCCCGCAAGCAGGCTCAGGGCGGCTTCCATACAACATAAATACAGATTAAAAACATACAATAGTTTAAAACACCACAAATAAAACCAATACAAACATAAAGTGCTGGCGGCAGTTAAAAATTAAGTTAGATAGCCTATTGTCAGAATAGATTTCCACTGCCCTGATGTTCTCAGATGTTTCTGCTTGTAATCAACTCGATGTTAAAACCCACGGGCCGGGGCTCTACTACAGCGGCAGTCCCTAATTAAATGCCTGGCGGAAGAGCTCCGTCTTGCAGGCTCTGCGGAACTGTGAAATACGAACTTTCCACCACTGATGTTCTGTCATCTTCCCAACCACTTCAGTGTTTACTGCTCCTCAGTAAACTAGGGAGCCTTACAAACTCAGGGGGCTGGGAGACCACATTTAATACCCCACCCCAAAGCTCAGGCCAAAGTTCAGCACCCACAAATCTCATGGGTTTCAAAGGGTAAATTGAAACAACAGCTTAGTAGTGAAGGCCGCAGAGTGCTTTCCTGGGAGTAAGCCCCATTTAATAGGTCTGAGTAGGATTTGGAGTAGACCCGATAATTCCGCCACACTGGAATCAGAGGGCCTTGTGTCAGCTGAACTCTGGTTGGATCGCAATCCGTAAGGCACACGGTCGCCCTTTTCTCTGTCTGGCATGCAGCTTCATGGTGATTTCGACTCCAGCTAGTTTTATTGCCTGATAGTATTTTCATATGGAACTGATTCGTTTTGAATGCAAAAATGCAAAAAAAAAAAAAAAAAAAGGAATTGCAGCACCCCCAATCCAGTTTGGTGTAGTGGTTAAGTGTGCGGGCTCTAATCTGGGAGAACCGGGTTTGATTCCCCACTCCTCCACTTGCAGCTGCTGATGTGACCTTGGGTCAGTCACAAGCTCTGGCACAGCTGTCCTTGAAAAAGAGCAGTTTGTGTCAGAGTTCTTTCAGCCCCACCCACCTCACAGGGTGTCTGTTGTGGGGAGGGGAAGGGAAAGGAGTTTGTAAGCCACTCTGAGACTCCTTTGGGTAGTGAAGGGCAGGGTATAAATCCAATCTCCTCTTCTTCTTCTTCTTCTTCTTCTTCTTCTTCTTCTTCTTCTTCTTCTTCTTCTTCTTCTTCTTCTTCTTCTTCTTCTTCTTCTTCTTCTTCTTCTTCTTCTTAATGTTACATTAATTTCAGTGAGACTTAAGCACACTTGGCTTCAACAGGAAAAGGACCATGGAGCCCATCCCACTCAACGTGTGCTACGGCACCTCAAAAGTAGTAATATGATTATGCATTTTCCTTTGCTTGGTATTCTTCTGAACAAAACTCGTACCACTAAATCCAATGCTATCTATAAACTAGCTTTAAGGCATATAAATCCTCCTTCGAAGCATTTACAAACTTGTGTCAAAAGTGTCATTGGTATCTGTTCTCAGTGCAGCAGGAAAGAGATACAAAGTATATAACACTCTAGAGACCAGTGATTGAAATTTATTAACTTGTCATTGGAACAGAACTGTGGCTAACCAGAAAGTTAAAAGTTTGCATTATTTAAATTGAGTCTGTTTCAGGACATCAGTATTAACTTGTATTGGGCCCAAATAAATACTGGTTTGCAGAATGAAACAGATTGCGCGATTGGGCTAAATCAGTTTGTATTACGGGATGGCGTACTGTACTTTTCAGGCCTTTTTCAACTTCACCCACAAGAGAGTGGATTACGACACCTTCAAGGCAGTTAACGATGCATGCCTTGTTTATGATGGGAAGCTTGTGATTGATACCAACTTCCATACCAACGATGTGGCCATCCGAGCCGCGGGTCCGCTGACCAAGTTCTCAAACATCTACTATGCCAACGAGTGGACACACGCAAATTTCAACTCCAAGGAGGTTGGTTTCCAGCTTGCCGCTGCCATGCTGAATCTTTTCGACCCAACTCTGGAGCCAGTTTTTGAACCCCCAGAAGATATGGATAGACTCATCCCTATGTACAAGGGATGCAAAGTTCAAGGTGGGTTCCAAACACTTCTTTTCCACCATCTAATGGCTGCATGGTTTCTACACTATAGTCTGCTGTAGCATTACTTGGCACGAAGTGAAAGAAATTTAACTATTGCCGTTGGTGTAAAATACCAGTTGTCGATTACTCCCGCATGGAGGTTATGCCCCCACATTCCCCACCATGTTGCATTGGAGGGAGAGGTTGCCTTCCGTATGACCTGGGTGAGGGAGGGTGAGACGGTTGCCTTGAAATAATAATAATAATAATAATAATAAAAATAATAATAATAATAATAATAATAATAATAATAATTCCATTTATTAATCGTTCAATCCTGCAGAGCTTGCTGGCTCTGAGCGATTTACAGTTACTCAAATACACACAGGACTAACAATGATTCATGGGGTAAGGGAGGACAACATATAATCTTTAAATCACACACGTTTGCAGCCGACGGGGAGTTTTGTTCAGCTGTAAGGTCAGACGTGTTCCAGCGGCATTTTTCCCTTGGCGTGGCTTGTTGTCGTCAGCTTTCTCCGGACTGCTTCAAGTTGCAGCGCAGCACTGCCACCGCCTGGCCAGACGGCCCATTACAGGCTTCCTTGATGCCGAAGAGTTCTTTCTAGGCTTTTCGGTCTTACGCGCAGGACATTCCGTTCGCCGGCTAACACCTCCCCCCCCCCGGATTCTCAATCTCGGATAAAGGGCGGGGGGTGGCAATACTCATCCGTGAAGTGTTTCCCTTCAGGGCACTCCCCATCCAAAAGATCACCAGTACTGAATGTGTTGGCCTGGTCTAGGATGCTGAGGAGAAGTTGGCTGTCTGGATGGTGCACCTAGCTCCCCAGCAGACAGGCTACCAAGCCTGCTGGAGACGGTAGCATGCTGGGCCTTGGAGTTCCCAAGACTGTTCGTTCTGGGAGATTTCAACATCCATGCCATTGCTGCTGCCTCCTCACCGGGGTCAGACCTGGTGTCTTCCAGGGCAGCACTGGGACTCTTCCAGATTGTATCAGGGCCCCCCGCACCATGCAGGCCACACACTGGCACAGGGATAGATATAGATCTGATTACCATTGATGGTAATCAAGCTGCGGTGGCTCAAGTGGTTAAGACGCTGAACTGCAGGCTATGGAAGGTCGGTAGTTCAGCAGTTTGAGACCCGGGTGCCGCATGACGGAGTGAGCTCCCGTCTCTAGTTCCAGCTCCTGCCAACCTAGCAGTTCGAAAGCAAAAAATTGCAAGTAGATAAATAAGCACCGCTTCAGTGGGAAGGGAACAGCGTTCCGTGCGCCTTGGTGTTTATTCATGCCGGCCACATGACCACGGAAACGTCTTCCGACGGCGCTGGCTCTTCGGCTTGGAAACGGAGATGAGCACTGCAACCCTAGAGTCGGACTCGACTGGCTTTCGAGCAAGGGAACCTTTACCTTTTTACCATTGATGGAATGCCATGGTCATATCATTTTGCCCTGAAAGTCCGGCTTGGTACGCCAAGCCCACTCCTGTCTAGGTGGTGTGTGGATTTGTGCTCTCCTGCAAATACTAATGGGCCCAATTGGGTTCCATAATGTTCTGTGGGATCCGATGCCCCCTGGTGATTCATTAGATGCCCTGATAGAGAACTGGAATACCTGTCTCTCTGAAGCCATTGATGAAATCGCTCCCCGATGTCCTCTTTGCACCCCACTGCAAACTAGCCCCCTGGTATACCATGGAGCTTAGGGAGATGAAGGAGTAGCTTAGACGAGTAGAGTTAGTTTGGCGTCGGTCTCATGACGAAGTCGCAAGAACATCTAATAGGACGTTTATGAAATCCTATGAGGTGGTGGTGAAGGCTGCTAAAAGGGAATTCTTAGGGTAATTAGGCCTTTAACTTCTCTCACAGATAGAACTCAAAATGTTAGAAATCCAGCCATTAGCTATGAGGCTTTTGGGAGCTTTTTCGTGGATAAAGTCTTGTCACTCCACCACGACCTGCCTGCCGCTATTGATACAGTATGTGAATTGGAGTTCCTTTGGCTGTCTTTGGATTCAGGACTCAACAACTTCAGCCGTCTCTCCCAGTCTGATGTTGACAGGATCCTGGGTGCTGTTAAGCCAACCACCTGCCTCTTAGACCCGTGTCCATCATGGCTGGTGAATGTTAAGCTCGAGACTCAATTGTAGTATAATGTTGTACAACTACATTCAGACTGTCTTGCATCAGGGGTTAACTACTTGCTCAGAAGTGCTTTGTCCACTGTTTTCGTCTACATGCTGTTTATCTGCTTTGCTAAGAGGGGTGTGTGTGTGTGTGTGTGTGTGTGTGTGAATGTCTGCTTACCCTTGCTTAGTGCCAGCTTGGAGTAGTCTGCGAACCCTGGGAAACATATGATCTCAGTGTCCACCCTGACCTTGTGTGCAGGGAATGTCTAGATAATGTAACTGTTAGTTGCAGGTGCGGGGGAGTGGCCTTCGAAGTAGGTTTGGATCTTTGGCAGGCTGAGTGAGAATATTGATAGGGTAGTTTGGCTTAGGGGGAATGTATTGCATGTAGTATAGGGTCGGTCCTGGCACCTGGGGGTTAGTTATGACACAGAACATCTGACAAGCGTCCCGCACCTGTCGGCAACCCGTTTTGCTCCGCCGAAGAAGCGGAATTAAAAAATACCGGGGAAAGTGCAGTAGCAAACAGGTTTGCGATGGGCTGCAGACGGACTTAAAATCTGCCTGGCATTCATGCCTATCACACGGCTAATTCTGCGTGTGATCGGGACCCAAGTTTGTCTGGAAAGAAAGCCAAAGCAGAGGGGACAGCAAATTGACAGGGTTGTTTGTTTCAATTTTTGTTTCATTTATCAACAAATTCTCCACAGCGTTTCCACTTAAACCTTTTTGTAACAAATTAAAACAATGCAGACAGTAGGGAGGTGCATAAATAACACTAACTGAAATTGATCAACTTTTGAGTTGGCCTTTTGACTAGATTGGATAAGGATGGTGGCGGCCATTTGTATTTTATTATTTGACTTTATTATTGTTTCAGATGTTTTGATGTTATTTAGTGATTTTTATGAAATTGTTCGATCTGAATTTTACGGTGGACCGTCTTGAGCACTTTACATGGAAAATAACCTAAGAAGCAGTATGCAGCATGAAAAATGAATCAGTGGCGAAAACACCAGTGAGAATAATAGTGTCTTCAAATGGTATCTTAAAGACAATAAACCTGGTGCTGTTCAAATGTTTCTGGGGAGGGAATTCCAAAGACGAGTCATTCACAGTAACTGCAATGGGGAGTAACCTTTAGAACCTATCTAAAAGCAACCACGTACCATCAGTTCTTATCACTGTGTCACGTATTGTTCTTCTGTAGTTTTAACAAATTAGCTGTCATATATGCTATCTGAATTTACACAGACCTCGGTAACACATCTCTTTGCTTCGAATAGGTGGTAGCCTACCTGGAAAATACTATTACGTGCACATTTATAAACCAGGAATTCCCACTCGCTTGGATGTAAAAGAAACGCAGCCCGATTATGTAAGTATTTAAAAATCTATGAGTACCATAAAGCACGCCTGTGTGATTTGGGTTTGTAAATATCATGGATAGTCCTGCTTGAATACAATAGCTTTCTGTGTCCTAGACAGCTTATTGGGATGACATGCATCATGCAAGAGAGGCTACTTGCTATCTGGGATGGAGCACTTGAAGCACATCTCTAACAAACACGAACATGTGTGATAGGCCTATTATGCACGGGTGTTTTCCCTTGCTTTCACCATGCGTGTCTGTCGAGTTTTCTTTGTCATTCTACATTGATTTTCCGCCCTTCAGTGCTCAGTTAGCTTTCTGGTCACTGTTTCCCTAGGTTTTCTGAGAGTGCTTTTCTGTCGATTTTTCCAAGCCAAAGGTGATACAAAAGCATACAAATTCCCTCGGATCAGTGTTTCCTCTAAGCTGAGTTAGTGTGAGCTAGCTCACAGGTTTTTAGCCTCCGGGTCACACCTTTTTGTCTTCACTCAGGAAGGATGGCTCCAGAGAAAACTAATGTATGCAGTAGCCAAATCGCTCACTCACAGCTTTAATGCCAGCAGCTCACAAAGTAGAATTTTTTGCTCACAAGACTCCATAGCTTAGAGACAGCACTGCCTTGGATTTCTACCTGCCCTTTTGCTGCCCCTCAAAAGTCACTCCCTTGCCCACATTGAGGTCATTCCACCCACTCTGCACTTTCCACCATCCTCCCCTCTTCATCAGTGTACAAGTTCCATTTTCCCCTCATTTTAAAATTTTTAAGAGTTTTTTTTTTTACAAGCTGCTTGAGTCTAGGGATATGAGACTATTGCTAGTCTTGGATTGCTGAATTTAAAAAATTAAAACGATGGGGGAAAGTTTAAAAGAATCTGCATGAGGTTTAGTTCCATTCTGGTATTGACTTGAAAGGAGGATCAGAGAGGAGGCAAGCAGCAGCATCCCCAGTGCAAAAAAAGAAAGGATTTCAGTGCTGCATGCAAACAAAATAAAGGGGGAGGGGATCATCAGCACAGAATGAAATTGACATGAGATGTAGAGAGTGAGAGACACTGGGATGGGAAGCCTAAAGGTTTGAAAACATTTTTCTCTTTAATGCTTTAGTGAACAAAGTTGAGGGGGAATCATTTTGGCTGTCTTCAGAAGCATAACATTAAAATGGCAGCTGAGCCATATGGACCTCCTGGGAATGGCTAAACTTAAGAATTGCTTGGGATTGATCCATTTGGAGGACAGAGTGCAATCTGCACAGGACAGGCTCTAAAAAACTGCCAAGATCACAACCAGTGTGCAAGATCAAATTAGAGAATCACAAAGAGAAAACCATGCAAATCAGCATTACTATGCAGCTGTGCTAAGGCATCGGCAAAAATGCCCCCCATTTTTTCAAATTTAGTGACACAAGACTAAAAAACTCTCCAGAGCTTCTGCCCAAGGACTCCTCCCCATACAAATTGTAACCCTGTTGCAGCCGACTTTGCACAGGCATGCACACACACACACATGTTGCCAATGATCACAGCTTGCAATGCCAGTGTCATTGGTGTCATTCTGCCATGCATTCTGTACTCTCAAAATGTTTCCCCATATTATGAGATCATGTGACTCTTTCCCCTTTTTCACAGTGGCTGATAACACAGCAGAGAATCTTCTAGCACTTGGCAATCTTGAAAACAGGCTTTACAGCTGCTTGTCAGTTTCAAAAAAGTCTGGTCAGTTTCAACATCGGTTTTCTCTCTTTGCCTGCATTCCTTTCTGTTCCCTTTCATTCAATGAACCAGGGGTTATTTTGTAGAAAAAGAGGTGCAAGAGCTCATTAGCATAACTTATTTGCATATGCCACACCCCCTGACATCAGAAGGCAACACCCACCACTCAGGCTCCACTGGACTGTTTTGGATTGCTAGCTATGGGGGGGGGCATGCAGATCTGTCCTCACAGAGGAGGGGGAGCTTGTACTTCAATAAAACTTGGTCTTAAGGTGCCACTGCGCTGTTTTGGATTGCTAGCTACGGGGGGGGGGGATGCGCAGATCTGCCTTCACAGAGGAAGGAGAGCTTGTACCTGAAGGCAGGCTGGGGAGGGCTCTGCAACTTACCTGGCTGCTTCTTGCTCCTCGTGGCCCAACTGAGGGCTTCTGGGAGCAGGGGGCAGGCTTGTTGCATGTGCCCGCCCCCTGGGTTCCTTAGTTTCGGAACTCCGCTCCTGTGTGCTCCTGCAGGAAATGATTCCTGCAATGAACTAATGCTAAAATGCATGCGCAAAACCTGAAGCCCCACCCCCATATCACAATTGACATTAGTTTTTTTATTGTTGCTGAAGAATAAATACACTGGAGGAAGAAGAAAGGTGTATAAGGTGGGCACAGAATCCGGAGTCAAGAGTAAAGGCTTACTGCTCTGGAAATCTGCAATAAGATGTGCAGGCATAATGGGCCATACTTGTCACCTTGTTTCCAGGCTCAGAGCATGTGAATTAAGCACTCAAGTTGCTTCTTTTTCTCAAGCAAAGTTTCTATGACTAACATTTGGATGAGGGGCAGAAAGCAGCAGGTATTCCAGTGATGAGGGAGGAGGTTTTACTTGTTGAATCTCTGCATGTCATGCTGATACTAAATGCTGTACAGTGTAATTGATGTCTTGTACAGGTTCTCTCCAATAAAATCTCAGATAGGTAACCCAAAGTACAGTACACCCATTCCCTCTTTGAGATCTGCTGCAAAACCACAGGGGCTTGGCTTGGGCCCAGCACAGACCACGATAGGAGTGTCAGCGTGGTTTGGTGGAAAATCAGCCCTGATCCCAAAAATAGTTTTGTATCTAATAACAACGTGTGGCCTTTGCACATTTGCTGGAAATCTAACTCTGCTAAACATGGGGCATCCTGCAGATTCTTGAATAGTCTTGCGGACAACTTCATCTCTCAGAAGGTGGAGGTGGGAACCAGAGGATCTGCTATCCTAGATTTAATCCTGACTAACAGGAAAGAACTGGTTGATGAAGTGAATGTTGTGGGATCCTTGGGGAATAGTGACCATGTCAGCTTGGAATTTGACATAGAGAAGGATGTGAAACCAGGACATAGTAGGACTCATATCCTGGACTTCAGGAAAGCTGATTTCAAAAAACTCAGAGAAATATTAGACAGGATTCTGTGGCTGGAAATGCTGAGGGGGAAATCTGCACAGGAAGGATGGGTGATGCTGAAAAATGAAGTGCTTAAGGCACAATCGCTAACTGTTCTGGTAAGAAAGATAGGTGGGAGACAGGTAATGAAGTCGAGGTGGCTGAACAAGGAACTCTGAAGAGCTGAGACTAAAAAGGGAAATGTACAGAAAATGGAAGGAGGGTCAGATTACTGAGGGTGAGTACAAGAAGCAGGCTCGAATCTGTAGGGATGGTGTCAGAAAGGCTAAAGCACAGATGGAACTGAGGCTTGCGAGGGATGCTAAAAACAACAAGAAAAATTTCTATGCCTATGTTCAGAGCAAAAAGAAGAACAGGGATGGAGTAAGCTCATTGCTGGGGAAGACGGTCAAGCCTTAACAAGGGATGAAGACAAAGCGGAATTACTCAACTCTCACTTTGCGTCAGTCTTTAACCATAAGGCGAGCTGTATGCAAACTGAAGAATGCAGGGCATATGAAGGAAGGAGAAACTGCCAGTCTAGAGTAAGTAAGGAAATGGTTAGAGAGCATCTAGCTGCTTTAAATACTTTCAAATCTCCAGGGCCGGATGGCTTGCATCCCGGGGTGCTAAAAGAAATTACAGATGTTATTTCAGAGCCTCTGGCTCTAATCTTTGAGATGTCCTGGAGTACTGGTGTTGTGCCAGAAGACTGGAAAAGAGCAAATGTTGTCCCGATCTTCAAGAAGGGAAAAAAGACAGACCCAGGAAATTACAGGCCTGTCAGCTTGACATCAACACCTGGGAAAATTCTAGAGCAGATTATTAAATGATCTGTCTGTGAGCACCTTGAACGGAATGAGTTAACTGGTAGTAGCCAGCATGGGTTTATCAAGAATAAGTCATGCCAAACCAACCTTATCTCCTTTTTTGACAGAGTTACCAAAATGGTTGACTCTGGCAATGCTGTGGATATAATGTATCTAGGTTTTAGTAAAGCATTTGACAAAGTTTTTCATGATATCCTTGAGGATAAGCTGTTTAGGTGTGGGCTGGATGTTGGAACCGTTGGATGGATTCATGGTTGATTGAAAAATCATACCCAACGAGTGCTCGTAAATGGCTCTGCGTCTACGTGGAGGGAAGTCTTGAGTGGAGTGCCACAGGGCTCGGTCCTAGGCCCAGTGTTGTTCAATGTTTTTATAAATGACCTGGAGGAAGACATAGAGGGAATGCTTATCAAATTTGCAGATGACACGAAGCTAGGTGGGATGGCTAATTCTGAAGAAGACAGAGTCAGGATTCAAAATGATCTAGATAGGCTGGAACAGTGGGCTGAGACAAATAAAATGAATTTCAATAGAGATAAGTGCAAAGTCCTACACTTAGGTACAAAAAAATCAAAGGCACAGATATAGAATGGGAGGGACTTGGCTTGACAGCAGCACATGTGAAAGGGATCTAGGTGTTCTGGTTGATCACAAGCTAAACATGAGCCTGCAGTGCGATGTGGCTGTGAAGAAAGCTAATGCAATCTTAGGATGCATTAACAGAAGCATTGTGTCCAGATCGCGGGAGGTGGTAGTTCCGCTCTATTCTGCTACGGTCAGGCCTCACCTGGAGTACCGTGTCCAGTTTTGGGCACCACATTTTAGGAAGGATGTTGACAAGCTCGAGCGTGTCCAGAAGAGGGCAACCAGGATGGTGAGAGGGTTGGAATCCAAGTCTTATGAGGAAAGGCTGAAAGAGTTGAGTATATTTAGCCTGGGAAAGAGAAGGCTTAGAGGGGACATGATTGCAGTCTTCAAGTATTTGAAGGGCTGTCATATAGAAGATGGAGCAGGTCTATTCTCTCTTGCTCCGGATTGCAGGACTATATCTAATGGGTGGAAATTACAAGGGAGTCATTACCGGCTAAATATCAGGCGAAACTTCCTAACTGTAAGAGTGGTTGAGCAGTGGAACAGTCTGCCTTGGGAGGTGGTGGATGCTCCTTCGCTGGACGTTTTCAAGCGGAGGCTGGACAACCATCTTTCGGGCATGTTGTAGGTATGTAGGGCTATGTTTCAGCTATGCTCCTGCAGAGTACAAGGGGTTGGACTAGATTACCTGCAAGGTCCCTTCCAACTGTAACATTCTATGATTCTATGATAACCTACACAAGAGAACCAAGTGCTTGGTATTTATTCTCGAACATCTGGCTCATCTGTTTTTAGACATATGTATTCTAGAGCCATCCTTCCTTATCTGCTGTCATTTTAAAAAAATTTACTGCAGGGCCTGGCAATCATGACCGGAGATGCGATCGAGGGGAATTATTTCAGGATACATGTCAACCGGTACAGTCTGATAGAAACCATCACCTGCTTTTCAAAGAATCCTCTTCCCGTATCAAACTACATCCCTCTGTTTGGACAGCACGAACGTCTTCTTAACCATCTGTGCTCTCGCTGGAGTGAGGGACTGATCACAGATCTCTATAGGTAGGAGAAGTTCTGGTTTGTGCAAGAAACTTTCTGTTTGGATTCTATTATTATTTTGTGTTTTATCATAAGAGAACATGCATTTATCATATAGAATACCTTGATGGGGGAGAAGCTTTTAAAAATGTAATTGCTTATTATCTCTATAATATAAGCAGTGCCATCTAAATTCTGGGGTGTAATTTTTTTCCTGGTGGCAGACAGGGTTTAAAATTACTGATGACACCATGTGGGAGGAGGGTCTGCCACCAACGCTCCCTCTAAGCTGTGGAGTCTCGTGAGCCAAAATTCTACTTGGTGAGCTCCTGGTGTTAAAGTTGTGAGCGAGCGATTTGGCTGCTGCATAAATCAGTTTTGCTCCGGAGCCCATCCTTCCTGAGTTAAGACAAAAATGTGTGAGCCAGAGGCTAAAAAACCTGTGAGCTAGCTCACGCTAACTCAGCTTAGAGGGAACACTGCCTGCCGCCCAGCCCAGACTGCCTCTGAAAAGCAGAAGGTGTGGTTCTTTTTTTTTTTTTTTGAGCCCCCAGACGGGATTTTTTATTATTATTATTTGTTAACACTACAAAAACTACAACAGAAGAAAAGGGAGGGGAAACTACATATACGGGATAAAGTAAAGAACCCACTACTAACTAAAAGCCCAAGAGAGGAGATCCTCCAGGTAGCTTGGTTACATCAAGTCTTCCCATCATTGATCCCTTTATAAACTGAGTCAAACATTTATATCACTTTTCCTTTCGAAGGTGTGGTTCTTTGATGGCTCCCATTCAAAGGAGTTCAGCAAGGGTTTAAAAAAAAAAAATTCTTCCAACAACCTTATTAAGGTCAGCTTGGGGAAGGGTTTTGAGGGGTTTTTTGGCTGTCCTTGTAAGCCAGTAAACAATCTTCCTCTTCTCAACAGCGAACAGCCTAACAATTCCTCTCAGGTCAGGAAAAGAGAATTGCTTCCCCCCGCCCATCTCCTCAGAGGCAGTAGCAGAAATGCAAACTTGATTTCTCCAGCTACTTGTCATGGGGGCGGGTTAACTGAAATTGCTCTCGAAAACAGGTCCTGCAGCAGATGGCAACAGGGGAGGTTTGTGGAACACCACGCCAGCCACTTGAAGCGTTCCTAGGCTAGGCAAGTGCCTTACCTCAAAGACCTTACTTCACCATGAGGAGCATGACAGAAGGGGAGAGAATTTTATCTCACTCTAATCTGTCTGTCCCTCTTTTATTTTATTTATTTACTTCATCTATACTCCACCTTTCTCCCCAGTGGGGGGCTTAAAGCCGTTTGCGTGGGTCTCCTCACCTCCATTTTATCCTCGCAACGATCCTGTGAGGTAGGCTGGCTGAGAGTTCCTGACCAGCCCCAGAAAGCTTCCGAGGCAGAGCAGGAATTTGAACACGGGTCGACCCCCATAGCAAGTGGCATGAGAATGGGGTGGTGGATGGGTTGGGGCCCATTCCTGCACCCTCCTGTGTCTCTTGCTTCTGGTCCTGCCATGGTGGGGGCATGTATGGCGCCCCCTAGAAGCAAATAGTGGTAACAAAAAGTAGCTGCTTGCCAGGTCCTTTCCCTTCTAGCTGGAATGCCTCTCGCTCTTCAGCTAAGTTCCTGTATCCCATCATGGACAACTCCATAATAGACCCTCCTTCCCATTCATGTGTCTATGTGTCCACGGGTTTTGTTTTTAATATTATAAACAAACCACAATATATGTATTTTTAGGCTTGTTTTAATGTTATCAATTGTTTGCTGCCTTATTTATTTATTTATTTATTTAATAAATTCGGTTTATAGCCCGCCCTCCCCGCTACGCGGGCTCAGGGCGGCTCACAATCAGGCATAAGCCTCGCATAAAACACATTTAAAACCATTTAAAATCCTATCAACAATTTCCTTGGGGACCCTGCGTTGGGTGGAAAGACAGCTTAAAATATTTAAAACAGATAAACTAAACATAAGTCGCTATTTGATGTTCTTGTGGCCTGTTCATTCTGGGTGGAATAATTGCTTTGAAATGTGTGAGGTGTGGATGTTCTCAGGTGTTAAGTGACCCACCAGTTTAGTTTGGCATCCAAATGACACCCCCAACCCCCTCCTGTTGTTTCTTTCCAGTCCTCCTAACCCTTCCCCACCTCTGACCGTCAGCTGTTCATGTTTTTTCACCTCATTTTCTGGGCCAGGTGATCTATATCTTGAGGGATGTTGATTTCTTTTCTTTTTTTTACTACAGTGAGTTTTTACCAAATGACATTGTTCAGAGATATTATCATATTTATGCAAGGCAGTAACAGCGCTATTGCATAGTAACGGACTAAAAGGGTGTCTAAATATTTGATCTGGTACTATGGAGTCAAGACGATATCAGTGGCTGTACAGCACGCGGAAATAGTTTTTCACTTAGCCTTAAAGGTTTCGTGCCACTCTCAAATGGCTCTGCCATTGCTCGTTCCTTGAAAATGGAAATTCCAGAGTGATGGCTGTGTTAGTGTGTTGTAGCAAAATTAAACAGAAATCCAGTGGCACTTTAAGGACTAATCACGTTTATTCCAGCATGAGCTTTTGTGACTCAGAGCTCATTTTTTTCAGATCCATTTTGGAAGGAAATAATTTTAGTCGTGTATAGGGAAAATTAAAGAGTGGGGAGGAAGGTGGGGCAGAGCAGAGCTTGGTGTGGATCCTGTCCTAAATTTTTGGGCAAGCCATAGTTCTGACAGAGCTGTCCTTGAAAAAGAGCAGTTTCTTTCAGAGCTCTCTCAGCCCCGCCTCCCTCCCAGGGTGTCTGTTGTGGGGAGGGGAAGGGAAAAAAGCTTGTAGGCCGCTCTGAGACACCTTTGGGCAGTGAAGGGCTGGGTATAAATCCAATCTCTTCTCTCTTCTCTTCTTTTTCTACTTATAATTTCATATTATACACAAATAAGCTACGAGATTTAAAAGTTCATGAAATCGTCTTAATATATTATTTAAAAGTCCATATCCTTATATTTCTGTCTTATCCAATTATAGAATGGAGTCCATAGTCCAACAAAGTCTTCTTTCATTTGCCCTTTTAGCATCGAGGTCAATTTATCTATTTCTGCACTTTCCATAATCTTCACTATTAAATCATGTTCCGAAGATATTGATGGACGTTTCCAATATGTTGCCCGTAAAATTCTTGCTGCCGTTACAACGTGGATTATAAAATATCTTTGACCTGTGAATCTTCATATATCCCTTGTGCGTTATATTTGTCCTTTTGTGTGACCTTCAAACTTTCCCCCAAAATAAGAACACCATGGCCTTGGTGGACAATATATATGGAAATAACGTCTTTTGAACTATGGTGCTGGAGAAGACTCTTGAGAGCCCCTAGGACTGCAAGAAGATCAAATCAGTCAATCCTCAAAGATATCAACCCTGACTGTTCCCCAGAAGGCCAGATAATGAAACTGAAGCCCAAATACTTTGGCCACCAAATGAGAAGGGAGCACTCACTGGAGAAGACCCTGATGCTGGGAAAGATTGAAGGCCAAAGAAGACGGGGACGGCAAAGGATGAGATGGTTAGACAGTGTCATAGATGCAACGAACATGAAATTGAGTACACTTCAGAGGACGGCGGAAGACAGGAAGGCCTGGCGTGATCTGGTCCATGGGGTCGCGAAGAGTCAGACTCGACTGTGCGACTGAACAACAAAAACGTTTCGTTTGCTTCATCAGTTTTGGTTGACTCCTGTTGCCTTGCCTTCCTATAGGCTGAGAGCCAGTTTGGTGTAGTGGTTATGAGCAGCAGACTCTAATCTGGAGAACCGGGTTTGATTCCAGCAGCCAGCTGGGTGACCTTGGGTCAGTCACAGCTCTCTCAGAGCTCTCTCAGCCCCTCCTTCCTCAGAGGGTGTCTGTTGTGGGGAGAGGAAGGGAAGGAGATTCTGAGTGAAGGGTGGGGTGTAAATCCAGCTCTTCTTCTTCTTTGAGCAGGCAGCAATTGTCGAAGAAGAAAAATACAGCAAATGCCAGTTGGTGGGTGACTCAAAGGATTTATAGCTAGTGTCCATCCTCTAAATCAGCATAGACATCAGAACGCCACTTCCTGGGGGCTCATAGTAGGGGCAGCTACGCTCTTTGTGCAGCGCTTGTTGGTTTCTCCAAAACATCTGGTTAGCCACTGAGGACAATGGAATGCTGAACTAGATGGTTTTCCAAGGTCATGGTTCACCTGGGGCACCTAAAAACCTTGGGCCAGCCTTGGTTGGGTCACCATCCCGAATAAATGTGGACTTGTCGGTCATCATACCAAAAAGGCTGGGAAGCGCTGGTCTCAGTTATCTTGGGAAAAAAATGTCATTTGCTAGTAGGACAGTTAAATCTATCCTAGCTGCATTAAGCTCGAAATCCACTCTTCTTTAATTTTCTAACAATTTACTGGCTTTTACGGTTTCTCACTCTAAAGCAGACGAGTTCCTGCTATTCTTTAATCCTTTTGTAACTGGATTAGATTCTTTCTGGCAATTGCCAGGAATGAACTCAGTGAAGCAGCTGTCACCTGGGAGTTAATTTGTCTTTCTGTGACATGAAAATTACCTTTTTAATTCAAGCCAGTATCTAGCTATGAATTTTCTACACTGCCTTGTGCCTGTCAGGTTAAAGGTTTTAACCCTGTGGAAGTGGATTTTACCGCTGTGATCGTCTAAATAAATGTCAAAATTAACAGTGACAAGCTGGGCCGCGCAAGTCATGCATAACAGAATGGTATATTTTGTGCTTCTTGGACAAACTCGTTCTTGAGCCCAGTTAGTTGATGCCAGTCACAACAGGGCAGCAAGGACCTAGAGCTGCTGCGGCCATGCCCACATCTCTGTCAGGTTCAACAGCATGCAAATCTCCACACACGTTTCCAGGGAATCGTTATGCTTTATTAGACTACAGGTCTGTTGCCATGATCTACAGGTATATTGTTAGGAATGACAATGGGGCGGATGCATCACTACATATAACATGATGCTTTGTTTGTACCGGATCCATTTTAG